ATTTTTTCAAAAGTTGCTTCCGCTTGTGAAAAGTTCTGCTCAAGTCTTGGCTATTGAACAGCGAAAATCGCAGGTCTCTATCTCATTCCTATCAAAAGTTATTCAAAAAGTGGCACCCTGCACTGTATTTTGGTATGGATACTACTTTATTTGGTCTTGAAATGTAGTCAATATTTTTTCCCGTGGCATAACAGAACTCGATTTTCGTTTTGTCGCTGAGGAAAACAAAACGTTTTCCGAGAAATGAAGAAAACCTACTCTAACTTTTCGGAAAACGTTTTGTTTTCCTCAGCGACAAAACGAAAATTGGGCTCTGTCATGCCATGGAAAAAAGTGCTGGTTACATTTCAAGACCAAAACTTTAGCGCGTAAAACACCGGAGAAAACTTGAAATTACGCAATGCTAGGAAGGCAGAAATCGATTTAGACGAAAGAAAGAAGAAAAGAAACGCAGAGTTTTTGGTGCTAGTAGAAAAATGCTGTTAACTTTAGATTGAAGTGTCACACAGAGCTCAGCAACGTCTCATTTTGAAAACACTTTCTCTATATGGATAAGTGGTTGAAAAACTTTTGACCGGCTACCACACGTGTGGACCATTTCACACAGTGAACAATAATAAATTAGCATTTCCAGTGATCAATCTTAAGAGAGGTTTTATGAGTCCATCGAGTATAGCCATAACATGGCCAAAACTGACCCCTATTTTTTTATTACATATTTGGATTCTACGCATCAAACTACACCTAGAAAAACATTTTTAAGCCATTTGGACTTGATCTCCCCGAGTTATGAATTTTCAAAGTGAGAGATGTCGAGAACTTTAAAAAAAGTAAGTGTTGTTAGAATTTTTGCTACAACTCCGCCGTTTTCGAACAGTAGTGTTTTAAGTCAAAGCCACGTTTGAGGTGGCAAAGTGACCGTTGTAAAACAAAAAGCTATAGAGGTTGTAGAGAATTGAAAGCGCTACAAAACGTGCGTATCGGTTTTTCTCAAAAAGTATCAGAGGACATGGAAAAATTGGCAACAATAGAAAAATCACGCATTTTTCAATATTCTTATTTTAGAGAAAAACATATTTTTAACGCAGGAAGAGTCTATTTTTACACATAAAATGTGTTTCTGTGTTAATTCAGACACAATTCTAGCCTAAACCTGACTTTTCCAAGAGATTCTCAAAAACTAATATATGCTAATTTCAATTAATTTTCGCTAAAGTCCTGTGATTTTCGGCCAAAGGTCACCTAGAGAGACAATCTTTTAAACTTATAAACACTTAGCTGCTAGTCTATAACGAAATATAATCAGTTCTATATAATATTCTATTAGTAGGTTCATGCTCTGAAACAGTAGATCAAATGAATTCCATCCAAGAAAATAAACTAATGTAAAATTACAATATTTAATCAATTAAATATAAACGTCTGATATTGTTCTTCGACTGATCAATAATTCCCTTCCTTGCATTTAAAGTTTTTGATTCTCATAATATTCACTATAAAGTGTGCACCGAAAGTTATTGGCGAATCTGTAGATTTGAGAGCAAGAATACATAGTCATAAACATTCTGTTCTACATTTACCTCATAATGCTCAAAACGCTCACAGACATATAGCTGGCTGTTCTGCTGGTGAATTCAGTGTCTTTCCCGTTTTTAAGATGAACACACAAGATCTGTTCATCAGAAAGTTGAAAGGAAAGGAATTTAGAAGAAAATATCATCCATCACTAAATCCAGACGATGAAGATTAATTGACATTTCCATGACTACTATTTCAAAAATCAAAACTCAACTAAAACGAAAAACATTTCATTTTTTCGAAAAAGTTTTTTCTAAAAGTTTTAAATTATTTTATCGAATGAAGTGAGCACCAAAGTGTATCTCGAAACACGTATCGTACTGTCTATAATTTGGTTATATGTTTGAATAAATGTTTTTTCTTCTTCTCTGTTAGATATTTTTTTAAATATTAGTAATCACTTCAGAGACGATAATTCTGTTCACCAGAGTCCTCGAGGTTACGGCTGTTTGACAACCTAAAACTTAACCGACGAAACTCGTAACCTAAACCTAACCTAATCTATTAATGTTTTTCGTAACCTAACCTAGGTTAACCTAATACAATATAAAAAAATATTATAATAAAGTATTATATTGTTATTGTTGTGTATTCGCCATCTATTTTTAGCAAACGTAAGTTTTTTCTCTGTACTTCCTATTTTGATTGTGCCATTTTTCAGTTTAAAAATGGTTCAGTCTGAACTTTATCGCTCAATCAATAAAGTTCCACTCGGACCACGCTTTATTACTCAAAGTATTGGCTGTTTTAATGTGACCATTTAAAAGCGGTTTTTTTCGTTTAGGTTTAAAATAGGTTATCAATGGTGTAACCCTACAATCTAATCTATAAAAAATTTCATAATCTAAACCTAATCTAACCTATAGATTGTGTTAGGTTAGGTTTAACTCACAGCGCTCTACTGTCCACTGTAGTTCTATTGAACAGAAAAACGAGTGTTGTTTATTTTAATTCGAGAGGTTCGGTATTATCAAAGCCTTACACACTTACCTAAACATGTCAGCATCCAACCACGCCATAATTGTATTATATATTCATCCACGTTTTCTAAACTACTATTTGGGCCATACAGATCTGGAACGGGTGGTACGAGATTAGAATCCTTACAATCAGAATCTGTGACAAATTGTTTTTGTATTTTGTATTTAGACAATGTAATATCAATAAAACCAATCAATGTAAAGATAGCATTATAAACTATATGTGGTTGATCTGGATCATTATATAATGTTAATATAGCCGTTGGAAATGCTTTGCTATAATTAATAGTTGCATGTACTTTCAAAGTTGAATCAGCTACTAGTTTCTTCTTATTGTTACCAGCAAAAGTGTTATTCGATGGACGAAGATAGCATTCTAATAAAATATCATTTATTAAAATTGACAGCTCTTTTTTAACAATATCGGATTTTACAACATCATGACCATTAAGTTTTAACATACGTTTGGCTGTTTCCTTATATCGAGCTTTATGACCCGCAAGAATGATACTTAGTACTATACTAATATTGATAAGAAGAAAACCTAGTGGAAGAATAATACGATGTATTGGCAACATTGAGTACGAGAAATAATACACGTAGAGAAGAATAGTTGAGTGAATGATGTAGTACCACTATGTACTGAATACATCTCACTATATAAGTCAATTACGACTGTTCAGTAACAACAAATTCAATTATACTAGTCTATTCATAAGCTATGACGAACATATAATAAAGTGTCAACGTCTAAATCCATTATTCCGTATGACTTGATAAATTCGCCAGCTGTGCTACAGATTTCAAGGAAACTAGGAACTACAGAACACTTTAGAAATTCTATTTATTCAATCTTGAATCCTTTTAATATTTATAGATCCATTCAATAGTTATGTAATAAATCAACATGTACTATCAAAAGTAGAAATTCTATCTAGAATATTTTACAGCGTGTAATGCATTTAGAATAATATATATTATGCTGATCGATAATTTGAGCGTGCAAATCAAAATCTGAACGGACGGAAATCGATAAGAGCCAAAATCGACTCCCTTACAGATCAAGCTTATGTTAACCGATCTGATGTAGTTTTTATCCGCGATTAACCCTAACATATTTCTAAACCTTAAAAATCCTTTTATCGTGATCAGCGTGAAATTCTGCGTCGAATGGTGTACATTTAAAATAAAAAATAAAATAGTGTAGAAACTTCGAATGGCGTGCGCCTTACAATTGTTTATACTGAAACGATGATCATTAAAAAATA